TCGTCTTCCACGTGTGCTTGATGTAGTTGTCGTCGTTGTAATTCTCATTTTTCGTCTTCTTCTATACGGCTTTCATATTCGATATGGCGGTCGATGCGTACCTCTTCCTCGATGTCGTGGTCGAGGTCTGGCACCGGTTGTCCTTGTCCTGGCTGGAGATCGCGTTGCTTTCTTTCGCAACCTTCCTTAGCTTGTTGTAGAAGTGTTGTTAGCTCTGCTTCCCTTCCTCTGTGCCACTTTTCAGACTGCTCTTGTCCGGTCATGTACTTGTGCATCGTCTTTTGTTGGTGCTGTATGTATGCTTCAGCACCTTGCTCCTTGCTGGTATTGTTCTGCTGTCAGAAGTCGCTGCTGGTAGTGCTGGTTGGCCCTCTTCAGTTGCCCTGTCGCGCTCGGCATAATGAGGTGTGCTGCTCCTTGGTCGTTGTATCTGTCAACTAGATGGCTCTCTGTTTGTTGGAGTCGTCGTGCTGTCTGTGCTGCCTCTTGTGCTGCGGCGACCTATGGTCGAATGGCGCTCGTGCTTGTGCTCGTTGTGCTAGGTATGTTGCGTACTGTTCAACATGTTTGTGGTGCGGTTGTGCGTGCCATCTGGATTGTTTTACTTAAATTCCAGAAGCCTTGCTCCAGACCGTGTATCTTCTGTCCTGCCATCACCATGTATGGGCAACTTGTTTGTTTTGCTATCTGTTCTTGTTGAAGCTTGTAGTCTTGGTGTAGCTGTTGAATTGAGTACGGCATGCGCTCTTCTGTATATTATTCTGCTCTGAGTATGTCCTGCGCGTAGGTGCTGCAGGTTGAGGGCCGTCGGTCTTGACGTGTTTCTTGCTCTTCGTGTAACCCTTGTCGTAGTTCTGCAATGGTCGCTTCTGACTCTTTGCGTGGCCCTCTCTGGTCGAGGCGTGTTCAGGCGTGCTGGTCGTTCTGTGCTCTAGTTGCCTGATTCGTGCGTGGTAGTGGAGGGCTTGTTCCGCGAGGCTCTCTAGATGCTGGTGTCTGTGCTCATTTTGTCTTTTGGTGTGGTCGGCTTCGCGTTGTGCTGCTTCTTGTCGACGTACCGCCGTCGCCTTGCTGGCTTGCATGCGTAGTTATGTTTGTCGTAATGCTTGAATTTGCTTACGTGTCTCGGTAGTGTTTGGACAGGTTGCCGTTTGCTGCTTCTAGTTGTCGTGCGGTCTTCTCTGCTGCTTGTAGTTGTCGTTGTGCTCTGGCCTCCTTGTCCATCTTTTGTTGAGCTGCTTTGACTTTTGCAATTGTCCCATCGTTGGCTTGGAGGTCGTCGTATGCTGTTTTGAAAAGTGCCTTCCGCCCGCTTCCGTGTCTCTTTGTCAATGTCGGCGTTCGATGTTGTGGTTCTTGAGTGATATCAATTGTGGTCGCTCACGTGGGTATGAGTTGAGCTGCACATCTTGTGCGCGCGGTGATCGTGATTGTGGGCTGGGTGTGTGCTGTCTGTTGCCGATCAGCTCCTCCTCAAGATTGGCATCTGTCTTGGTCCCGTGGATGTTGTTCCCGTGCTGCTGCCGGCCTTGCTTCGAGGTCGTTGCGGAGCTCTGTGTGCAAGCTGCGTAATCGTCTTTGAGCTTACGGATATACGTCAATATTTTTGCTTCTGCCTAGTGGTCAAGTAGCTGTCATTCCACGACTGCTAGATCGTGGCTGAGTCCGCCTGCATCATGTCCTGCGTTCTCCACTGCCAGGATCTGCGAAGGGAGCTTTCTAAGTTTGGCTGCCTTGGACGTGTTCCATGCATCTGCTCCGAGTGGAGTGGCTCCAGGCTTGTCTTTGTGTACGACGTCGTCGTTGTAAGTTACTGGTACGCTGTCGATCAAGGACTGGTTCGCTCGTGTGGTGTATGCCGTGTGGTCTGGGTTGCTGCCGAAGCTGGGTTGCGGTACGTAGTCTTTGTTCTTTGTTGGTGTGGTTGGTGGCTGTTTTGGTTTGGGCCCTGGAGTGGTCTTCCTCTGCCGTTTCGTATTGTGCGGCTGCTGTGTCTGGTATGGTGTTGTCAGCGTTGTTTGGTAGTACGTGCCGCCTTTTTGCAGCTGTCATTGTGGTTGTGCTGCGTAGGTCGGACCTGTTGAGCTGGAGTGGCGTAACCGCTGTGCCCGACAGGCTGCCAGGACGGTCCTTTGCCTGAGGGGTGCGTACACGTGGCTATCTTCCGGGGACTCGCGAAGATCGACGTGGTTGATAAAGGGTTTCGTCCGCAACCGTCCTCTCTTAAGTCTTCTGCTTCGGGGAGCGGATGCCGCCCACTCTCCCCGGCCCCGCGGGCTCGCCTGGAGTGCGGCTGGCCCACCCGGCGCTGGTGGCGCTGGTGGCGGCGGCTGCGGGCGGCCTCTGGGGAGTCGTCCCACGTGGGCGAGTCGTCCCACGTGGCTCCCGCCGCGTTGGCGGCCCCGCCTGGCCCGGTCTGCCTGGCGCCGCTGGAGTGGGCCCTGAGTGCCCCGAGGTGTCCGCCCGCCCGCTGGGCCCGAGTTGCCCGGAGCCTCCGGCGGCCGAGTCGGGCGTGCTGGCGCAGGTGGGCGCACACCTGCTAGCAGGTGGGCTCTGGCGCGCGGCGGCCTGGGTGCAGGAGCGGGCCAGGAGGGCAGCGACGAGGCGCACGGCCATCGGAGCTCGCGCGTCTCGCGGTGTCCTTGCTAATGTTTGGGGAGGGCGGGGCGTGGTGGAGTGACCTGAAGGTTGGGCAGACAATCGGAGTGCAGTGTCGAGACGACGGAGTTGACCACGAACCGTTGCTACTGCACCCGTGCTCGGCGGACAAGGATCGCTTGTATATCCTCATTCCCGACCTTGATGAGTACGCGGGGGCCGTGACGACTGGGCCCGACGCCGACATCGTCAAGACGCACCCCCTCCCCGACGATGGTTCCAAGCCCAGCTGGCTCACGAGGAAGTTGTACCGATTCCGCGTCTACCCGAGCTAGGACGAGATGGTGGACGTGCTCGAGCTGGGGCACCGCGCCGCCGTGGAGGAGTGTGAGGGAGCCGTCCCGCCTGCCCTTGAGGATGTGCTGCTGCCGCTGGGCGAGAAGGTGGCCATCGGCGAGCTGGTGCCCGGCTGGCCGGGCCTGCGCGCAGCGTGCGCGGGCAGCAGGGCGCGACGGGCGGCGGCGACGGCCCGGCCGCGCCCCTGTCCGAACCGCCCGGCGGCGGGGCGGGGAGCCAGCTCGACGCCGAGCGCCCGCCAGCGGTACGCGATGAGCCACGGCTGCGAGCTTTCTCCTGGCGACGAGGTCGATGTGCGCGGACGGCGCGGCGTGCGAGCTGGGCCCGACTACCTGCTCGTCCTGGGCGGCCTCTGCTATGTCCGCTGCTGGTTGGCGCAGCTCGAGAGTGTCCCCGGTCTCGTCAGGAGCGAGCGTCGCCGATGGGCGGCTGGCGCTGACGCTGCGGTGGGCGGCGCCGACGCTCCACCCGCGGCCGCTGCTCCTGCTGCCGTGGTCGTGGGGGCCGCGGCGCCCAAGGTGGATCGCGGGCGGCTGGGGCCGTCGGATGAGCCGCTGCGGGAGGTGCTGGCGACGACAGCGAAGAAGGACAGCGGGCCCGCCGCGGACATCCGCACCTCGTGGGTCGACAACGACAAGCAGGGGGAGAGAGGCAAGTCGTGGGGGACGTGACTCGGGAGAGTTCGCAGGAGGCCTTCCCTGGCGCGCCCGTGGAGGGGCCCGGCGCGACGCTCTTCCTGGCCGAGCGCTCCGACCGTCACGGAGGCGACCCAGGGCAGTGGCTCCTCATGTGGCTGAGGGGGCACAAGATCGACGGGTCCGATCGGGCGTGCCACGAGATGAAGGTCCTGTGCGATGCCCTCAGCTCAACGTCGGCGCCCTCGCCTTGCTGGAGATGCTCGGCCGCAGGGCCCAGGCCATCATCGACGCCCACGCGAACCCCCAGAGGGTCACATGGGAGCACGCGAAGCTGTACATGGGCACGGGCGCGCCCGACAACCTGGCGGTAGTCCCACCGCGGCCGCGGGCGGCACCGAGTCGGGCGACGCTGCCGTGGGCGACCGGGGCTCAGGCGGGCGCGGAGGAGGGCGCGGCGGCGGTGGGTGCGATGGCGGCGGCTGAGGCCGGCGCGGACTCGCGCCTGCTGCCGCCCCCCGCCATGCGCTGCAGCGCCGCCGAGGGGCTTCGCCCCGCCCTCGGCGGGCAATCGGGGTGCGTTGAGGGCCCTCCCCCATGGGGCCGCTCAACAAGGGACTTCTTTTCCTTGCCTGCCCCCGCGGCGCCGTCTGGCCCTGCCACTTCGATTCGTTCGGCAAAGGAGGCATGGGGTCGCTCTATGCTTCGCGCAGAGATGGTGCAGTAGGCGGTCCACGGACTGAGCTGGCTCGCTGATTGCAATGCCCTGGAACCTGGCCCCTGAGTCGGTGACGCCAGGCATTTTGACGCCCGAGGTGTTGGCCCGCGTGGAAGGCCTGGTCAAGGGCTGGGAGCCCGTGCCGGAGGCCCTCTCGGGGCGGGGGCCCCTACGGGACCTTGCGCGGCTAGTCCCTGTGGGGGCTGGAGACCGGCTCCGCGAACCTCGCGGCCTTCGACGCCGACCTGGTGTCCCTGCCGGGCGACGTCTCGGGCCCCCCCCCGATCGAGTCGTTGCTTTGCGCGGAGATCTCTCGTTGCGTGGAGGGCTATCATGAGCAGATGCTGCGACCCGGCGCTGAGATGAAGGACGTTGAGTTTGAGGCGCGACGGATCGCGCCATGCACCGACAGGAAGCTGCTGTTTGCAAACAAGCCGCGCCACGCTTTCGCGAGGAGTCTCTGGGGCCTGGACATGCTGGGCGCCGCGCTCCAGCCGCGGGAGAGGACCGGTATCTTCTTCGTTTGTAAGAGCAACAGGACGCGCCTCAGGCTGATCATGGACGCCAGGAAGAGCAATTGCTGGTTCCGCTTCCCGCCAGGCGCCAGGCTCTACACTTCGGAGGCTTTCGCGAACATCGAGATCGGCCACGACGACCTCGAGCGCCTGCAGGACCTGTAGCTGTGCCTGGGCATGGCGGACGTGAATGGCCGCTCCATCGCCTCGGGGCCCCTGCCTGGCTCAGGCCCTTCTTCGCTTAGCCGGAGGTGCCCGCGCGGGCGCTTGGGCTGACCGAGCTGGAGGGGGTCCAGCTTAGGCCCGCCGACGCGGCGTGGCCCATGTCGGCCTCCATGAGCGCGGGCTTAGCATGATTGCTGTTCTTCGCCCAGAAGGCCGACGAGCGGCTGGCAGTGGGCGCGCCCAGCCTCGGCGGCTCGGAGGTTCTGCGCGACCGATCGCCTCCCCCAGTGCTCTCCGACGGCCGCCCCCGACGCTGCGCGTGCGTGGATGACCTTGGCGTCTTCTCGCGGGGCAGGGGGGCCGCTGGGCAGGCCGCCCGAGAGTGTGGGGGGGGTGCGGAGCGCGGGCTGGAGCTGCACAGGGGCGAGGCGAGGGCATCCGCGGGGCGTCGGCTTGACGGGGATCGGCTGCGCGCGGCCATCGCGCCCGAGCGATTTTTGGGGATCTGGGCTGCGCGCGAAGAAATGCCCCGTCACGGCAGACGTTCTGTTCGAGCTGGGCCCTCGAGTGCTGGCTTGGCCGCGCTACTTTCGTGAATCTGGTTGAGAGGCGCCCTGTCCGTCTCCACACTTGCTATCGTTTCTGTCGCACCCATTACACAGATGTCGCCGTCTTGTGGCCCTCGGTCCGCGACGTGATCCGCGCATGGAAGGGGCTGATGGTGTTCCTGGTCCAGGACTGGGGGCGTCGCTGGAGTGGGCCTGTGACTCAGAGTGGCGCTAGTGAGTAGGGATATGGGGTGTGCACCTCTCTTTGGACCCGAGCTCAGGTCTCGTCGGTTGGTCGTGTTTCGGGGAGGAGCCGCTTTCAGCTCACGGACCACAGTGGCCGCGAGTCGGCCTTCGGCGCGGCCGACCTGGTCGGGGATCCTCGGTCGGGCGTGTGGGATACTCCGGGTGACGAAATAGACGTGTTTGTTGTGGTGCCTGATTTTCCCGAGGTTCCAGCGGGGCTTCTTAGCGAAAGCCTTTGGATCTCTCGTGTGCAGCGCCTGGAAGCTTTCGGAGAATATCCTGGCCCTCGAGGCTCGAGCCTTGGGTCTAGGGATTCGACGCTTCGCTTTGAATTCCTTGGATGTCACTGTAGGGCTCTGCTAACCGACAACATGAGTACCGTGGTTGCCTCTGCGAGGTCCCGCTCGCGCGAGTTTCGCCTCCTTGTTCACATCCGTCAGTCCGTGGCCTACAGTCTGGCTCATAGCGTAGCTTTTCAGAGGCCAGCAACATATGTACACGCGCGCGGTTAGCTTCCCCTGGAGTGCGTGTCAACGCGGACGTTCGTGCAGGCAAGACCGCGGATGGCGTGCATGTACATATGTTGTTGCTCGCCCAGCTTTAGATTACATGTGGATCCCGAGTGAATTCAATTCTGCGGGTGAATCCCCACTTTGACGCGACCCTGTTTTTCAGGAGAGGCCGAATGCCTGCTGCTCTCATCCCGCTCCTTCGTGCCCAGCTTGGCTCTAGCCTGATTTTTCGCGTGCCGTCGACCCTGGGCGCCCGACGGACTCGGGCCCTAGCTCGACCGACCTCTCGCGATGGACCGAGCCCAATGCATTGGAGAGGGCTGGCGGCGTCTTTGGGCCAGGGGGCGGGGGCCTCGGCTCGCGGGGCGGCCGCGCTGGGACGGGGCGCGAAAACGCTGGCCCGGGCGGGCGCCCCGGGAGCGCGTGCGAGGCCGCGGCCGGCGCCGCGGGGCACGGCCGCAGTCAGCTCGAGCGGCAGATCCTTCGTGCGAGCCCAAGCCCGACGCCGTCGGCGGAAGGGCCCGCGGGCTGGCGCGGAGGTCCCGGCAGCGGCTGGCGAAGTACTTGGGGGCGGCGCTGGGAGTCGAGGAGGATAGTCTCAGCCTGCTGGAGGCCATGGCGATATCGGACAATGTGTGCCGCTACCACTCGAGCCACCTCCAGGACTTCGAGGCCCTCGCTAGGGAGCTCGACCCAGCGGTCGTGGACGACGACGACGTGGGCGGCTGGCTCGTGAAGTTCTTCGACGACAGCGTCCTCCGCGGGCGGCAGCCGGACTGCGGGGGGAAGGTGCTGGCGGCCTTTGCGGACCGCCACCCAGCCTGCAGCAAGGCTGGCAAGCGGCGAGTGCCTCGGGCTTGGCGCTGCCTTCGCATGTGGCGCCGCCCTGTGCCTGGTCGCTCGAGGCGCCCCCCTCCTCGGGCGGTGTGGAAGGCGATGGCCGCCGACGTGTGCTCGCGGCGGCGCGGGCTGACGGCCGTAGCGATCATGCATGGCGTCGGGGCCTGCCACAGGCCGCGCGAGCTGAAAGGTGCAGCCCAAGGATCTAGCCCCCCCCCACGCGGGACGCGTCGGGGCACTGGTTTCGGATCATCTGCCCGCAGACAAGAGGGGTGACCACCGAGAAAGGGGCGATTGACGACGGCGTGATCCTAGGCTGCAAGTGGCAGCGCTGGATGACGCCGCTCTGGAGGCCCATGGCAGGGGCTCGTCGTGGGAGGCCAGTCTGGATGTTCACATGCTCCGAGCTGGCGAAGCAGTTCAAAGAGACCTGCAGCGGGCCCAACATCCCCGCGGTGCCGTATATGACGAGACACAGCGGACCCAGCATCGACTGGGCCCAGCAGTTACGAGGCGCGGAAGAGAGGGCGCTGGGCGAGCCGCAAGACGGTCGTCGGGCACGAGAAGGCGGCGAGGCTCAGCAACGCGTGGCACGAATTGCCGTGGGCGACCCAAAACCGGTGCGAGGCGCTCGGCGCGCGGCGCGCGCCTCGAGGGGCTGCTGCTGCGGTGCGCAGGCTGCTCTCAAAGGCCAGTGCCTCGGCGACTCCATCTCCGGCGAGGGCGGGGTCGCGCGCGCTGGCTGGCGCCTGGGCGCCCCTGCGCGGACCTGGGAGGTCCGAGAGGGCGCCGCGGGCGACCTCGCACGCCAGACTGTGCTCCGTTGTATTCGCCAGGATGTCAGTGCAAGCAGACTTTCTGGTGCCATGCTCGCGTCTCCTTCCAAACTTTTCGGTCGCCCGAGGCCGCGCTGCCGTCGTCCGCGCTCCTGCCTTTTTCCTGGGGGGTGCCCCGGTGTAGCTCGCGAGACGCCGAGAAACCGTTGGCGGGGAATGCTTGTCTGACGTCCTGCCGCAATCTTGCAATGTACCTGCGCGCTAGGAAAGTGCCGTGGATTCTCGAGAACCCGAATTCGTCCGAGATGTGGTTAGTGCCAGAAGTACAGGCCGTAACGGTCTGGGAGAGGGTCAGCACGGGTTTGAGTGATTTCTGCCTGGAGGAAGCGAGCCCGATTCATTTGCGGGGGAATCCCAAAGCCAGACCTTCTGGCCTTCAGCCGTAGGTGCGGTGGCAAACATGGTCTCTGCAACGCAACAGGCCTTCGGCGTCGCTAGCTAGAAGGGTCATCAATGGCGCGGAGAGCCGAACATTGCCCGCAGCAGTTGTGCAGGATACTTGCTCGCATTATGTTACAAAGAGCACGGAATTCACATGTCAATTATTCGGACCTTGTTTTCGCGACCCTCTATCCCTCGGCTCCGCCTGCCCCGATCCATCCTGATTAACTCGAGAACTTACCGTTTCGGGCATGTTCGGACCTCTTTATGGAGCCCACCGCCAGGACGCTTGGTTTCTACGAGACGTATCTTATTCGCTGAAAGACGAGGCCCCCTAGATGGAGGGGTGCCTGCACATAGTTATCATCTGGGGACTCGTGAATACCGACGTGCTTTAAAGAGGGTTTCGTCCGCAACCGTCCTCTCTCAACTCTGCTGCTTCGACCCAGCCATCCCACTACCAGGACGTATGGTCTGGTCCAGAGGTGCTGGCCCATAACCGCATTGGCGGCCGGGTCGTTGCCGCCAAGACGCGCGTGGTTTCTACGAGACGTATATGATCCGTTGAAAAATAACGAGGCCCCTAGATGTTGCTGTATTGTTGTCGCTGTTGGTGTATCCCCTTGCCTTTGCCTTTGGCCGGGGGGCCTGTGTGTGGCCGTGCAGTGTGTCGGCTGCCTGTTTTGATGGTCGTTGTGCGCTGCGATGTTGGTTAAGTAGAACATGTGCTGCTTGGAGCTGCTGATTGGTTGCTTGGCCGAGTAGGGTTCGCGCTGGGCCTACCCGTATAACTGTGCGTGCAGCTGCTCGTTTTTCTTCTCCCTGCGGAGCCAGGCAGGGTTGAGAGAAGGCGAAGGAGTCGTGGTGCCATGCTTGCAAAATGCAGCAATCGCAGGCCAAGCTGGCCACGTAAGTGGTGCTCGTTATGTGGGCGTACGAGGTAGATGTCGTAACCGAGGTGGCGCGTGCTGCCGTACGTGGTAGCGCAGGATGGTGCAGCGTAGCGCTGAGTGAGAGAAAGACATCAAGATGTGAATGGTGTAGAGGATAGGAGGGTGTTCAGAGACGATGGAGGTATTTCGAAGGATGTAATGGGCAGCGGTATCATCGTTTTTTACGATCGCGTCTGGCCGCCAAGGGCTGGCGCATTGCCGCGGGCGCTTGGGCTTGAGGCTCTGCCCTCCTCCTCCTCGTCCTCCTCCTCTTCCTCCTCCTGATCCTCCTCCTCCTCCTCCTCCACCTCCTCCTCCTCCTCCTCCTCCTCCTCCTCCTCCTCCTCCTCCTCCTCCTCTCCCCCCCCCCGTTCGCGCAGGTGCCCCTCGGCCCCGCGCACGTGACCCTGCCCCCCGGGGCCCCCGTCCTGGCCCCCCCCCCGCTCTTGGGCGCCCCCGAGAGGCGGCGCGCGGCAGCCCGTGGGCAGCGCTCGGGCTGCGCCGCGGGGCGCCGCGGTCGGAGGTGAAGAGGCGCGCTGGCCGGCGCGCCTCTCTCCCAGGTTAGAGCTGGCGAGAGGCGGGCTGGATGAGTTCGGCATTTGGAGATAAAGCACCGGGTGAGTTAGTCACCGGATGAGTTAGGCAATTTTGCGAATAGAGCACCGGATGAGCCAGGCGCTGGATGAGTTAGGCCTGAGTAAGTTTAGTGACGGACCGCATGAATTAGGCAACGGATGAGTTTGGCAGTGGATGAGTTTGGCATCGGATGATTTCGGCATTGGATGAGTTAGGTTTGGGGAAGTTGAGTCAAGCATAGGATGAGTCAATTTCCCGGGCTCTTCTGGTAGGGTTTTTGTTGGGCCACTTTGGGGCAGATGGGGGTCAGAATTTGCTTGACTACAAAACGGGTTGCAGTCAAGTAATTCTTGAGTTCTTTTGAAGCCGATGTTGGGGGTCGCTGCCTCCCGAGGGTGTTCTGGAGGGGTTATTGGGTGCATCCTGGGGCAGAAGGGAGGTGAGAATTTGCTTGGCTACAACACTGCTTGTAGTCAATCAAATTTTGAGTACCGTTTGTGTTATTTCACCTCATCCAAAGTCGAGTTTTTGTTGTCTTCTTGTTTTCTCTGGACACCCCGCGCAGGAACAGGATGGAATGAAGGACCCCCCCTCTCTTCTCACTCAGACACTCACACACTCACATCATCATCACAGCATCAACACACTTACACACACTCACACTCACTCGACCACTCTCATTCATTTTCTTTGGACACCCCGCGCAGTCCTGTCCCCTTACCCCCTCTCCTCTTCTGCCTTCGCACGTTCGCTCGCTCAATCTCTCACGCACCATCATCATCATCATCATCATCATCATCATCATCATCATCATCATCATCATCATCATCATCATCATCATCATCATCATCATCATCCTCATCATCATCATCATCATCATCATCACCATTAACATCATCATCATCATCATCATCATCATCATCATCATCATCATCATCATCATCATCATCATCATCATCATAACACCTTCAGATTTTTCTCCCTTCGCACACTGGCCTCCTGGCACTTCCCGGGGCCTCATGTGGCCTCCTGGGGGTTCCTGTGACCTCGTAGGGCCTGCTGGGGCCGCCTGGAATCTCATGGGGCTTCCTGGGGCCTCCTTCAGCCTCCTGGGGCTTCCTGGGGCCTCCTGGGGTCTGGTGCTTCCTGGGGCTTCACCCGAAACCATGCGCACAGCCTGAGACATCCTCGCAATTCGGTGCCCTCGTGATTGCTGAAACCAGCGCCTCGCCTGAGACATCCTCACAACTGCTCCGAACGCAAGAGAGATTGGGCACGCAAGCAAGCAAACCGCCTGAGACATCCCAACAACCTGGGCGTGAACGGGCCCGAGCAACACTCCCATGCCGCCCCCTTTGGGAGTGCTGAAGCCAGCGCCTCGCAGGCCAACCGCTTGAGACATCCCCGCAATCTGGGCGCCAGCGGGCTCGCGAGGCACCCCCCTGCCGCCCCCCACCCCCCTGGGGAGCGCTGAAACTAGCGCCTCGCCTGTCACGCCCTCAAGCACTGCTCCGAGAGCAGCAAATGTCGCGCATGCGCACAGGCAAACCGCCTGAGACATCCTCGCAACCCCTGGGCGCGAACGGGCCCGTGAAACACCCCCTGCCGCCCCCCCACCCTTGGGCGTGCTGGAGCCAGCGCCTGGGATGTAGCACGGGGGAGGAGGGAGGCGGAGGAGGAGGAGGAGGAGGAGGAGGAGGAGGAGGAGGAGGAGGAGGAGGAGGAGGAGG